ATTTGTCTTGGTGTGAACTTCTTTGGGTTTGATCTGTTTGGTATTCTCTATCCTTCTTTGACTTGGATGTCTGTTTCCTTTTCAAGGTTAGGAAAGTTTTCAGTTATTATGTCTTCAAATATATTCTCTGCACATCTTCTCTCTCCTCTTTCTGCTGCTGCTACTTGCTGTTTAGTCACTAAACCATGTCTGACTCTTTGCTACCCCAGGGACTAGAGCTTGTCAGTCTCCTCTATCCATGGGATTTCCCAGGCAAGAATACTGGAGCAGGTTGCCATTTCCTTCTTAAGGTCTTCTCACTATGAGACCCCCCCACCCAAATGTGAATGTTAGTATGCTTAAGGTTGTATCAGAAGTCTCTGATTGTTGTTGTTCAGTCACCTAGTCATGGCCGACTCATCATGACTCCATGGACTGCAAGATGCCAGGCTTCCCTATACCTCATCATCTCCTAGAGTTTGCCCAAGTTCATGTCAATTGCATCAGTGATGCCATCCAACCCTCTCATCCTCTGTCACTCTCTTCTCCTTCTGTCTTCAATCTTTCCCAGCATCAGGGTCTTTTCCAATGAGTCGGCTCTTTGCATCAGGTGGCCAAAGTACTGGAGCTTCAGCTTCAGCTTCAGCATCAGTCCTTCCAATGAATATTCAGGGCTGATTTTCTTTAGGATTGATGGGTTTGATCTCCTGGCCAGTCTAAGGGACTCTCAAGAGTCTTCTCCAGCACCACTGCTGCCAGTGTCTATGTGTCCATGATGAGTTTCAACTACCTCCTGTCTCTCCAGAAGGTTCTCGAAGATCAAGCAAGTCTGACCAAAGATTCTTTCAAATCACTGTTTCTGCCCCGAATCTCATGAGTGTGTGAGCGTTTGTGTTTTCTATTTAAGTATGGAGTCTCTATTTCCCACAGCCCTCTGGCTCTCCTAAAAGTAAACTCTACTCACCCAAAGTGAAATGTTCTTGGGGGCTCATCTTCCCAGTGCAAGACCTCTGAGGTGGGAATCCCAATGTAAGGCTCAAACTCCTCACTCCTTGGGAAGAACCTCTGTGATAATACTTATATTTGCATTTGTGGCTCACCTACCCTGGGGTATAAAGTCTTAACTATACCAAATCACTGCTCCTTCTACCTGTCTCACTGTGGTTCCTTCCTTATATCTTTATTTGTAGAAGACCTTTTCTGCTAGTCTTCAGGTCATTCTCACAGATAGTTTTTCTGTAAGTAGTTGCAGTTCTGGTGTGCCCATGGAAGAGACAAGCTCATGGTTATCCTACTCTCTTATTATCTTGGCCTCCAATGACATTTTTTGAAGAAAGAAAAATTCATCCTAAAATTCATATGGAATCACGAGGGATCCCAAACAACCAAAACAATCTTAAAAAATAAAAACAAAACTAGAGTACTAACACTTCTTGATTAAAAACTTACTACAAACCTACAGTAATCAAAACAGTAGGGTACTGGAATAAAGACAAACAGACAAGGAACAGAACAGAGTCCAGATATAAACCCTTGCATATATGGTCAGATGACTTTTGGCAAGGGTGGTAAGACCATTCAACAGAGAGAAAAATAAACAATCTTTTCAACAAATAGTGCTGGATATTCACATGAAAAGAATAAAACTGGACCACTGCCTAACATTGTATACAAAAACTCAAAATGGATCAAAGAACTAAATGTAAAAACTAAAACAATGTATCTCTTAGTAGAAAATATAGGGGAAAATATATTTGGCAATGATTTCTTGGATATGAAAATAAAGATACAGGCAACAACAATGTAAATGTCTATGTGTCCATGATGAGTTTCAACTACCTCCTGTCTCTCCAGAAGGTTCTCGAAGATCAAGCAAGTCTGACCAAAGATTCTTTCAAATCACTGTTTCTGCCCCGAATCTCATGAGTGTGTGAGCGTTTGTGTTTTCTATTTAAGTATGGAGTCTCTATTTCCCACAGCCCTCTGGCTCTCCTAAAAGTAAACTCTACTCACCCAAAGTGAAATGTTCTTGGGGGCTCATCTTCCCAGTGCAAGACCTCTGAGGTGGGAATCCCAATGTAAGGCTCAAACTCCTCACTCCTTGGGAAGAACCTCTGTGATAATACTTATATTTGCATTTGTGGCTCACCTACCCTGGGGTATAAAGTCTTAACTATACCAAATCACTGCTCCTTCTACCTGTCTCACTGTGGTTCCTTCCTTATATCTTTATTTGTAGAAGACCTTTTCTGCTAGTCTTCAGGTCATTCTCACAGATAGTTTTTCTGTAAGTAGTTGCAGTTCTGGTGTGCCCATGGAAGAGACAAGCTCATGGTTATCCTACTCTCTTATTATCTTGGCCTCCAATGACATTTTTTGAAGAAAGAAAAATTCATCCTAAAATTCATATGGAATCACGAGGGATCCCAAACAACCAAAACAATCTTAAAAAATAAAAACAAAACTAGAGTACTAACACTTCTTGATTAAAAACTTACTACAAACCTACAGTAATCAAAACAGTAGGGTACTGGAATAAAGACAAACAGACAAGGAACAGAACAGAGTCCAGATATAAACCCTTGCATATATGGTCAGATGACTTTTGGCAAGGGTGGTAAGACCATTCAACAGAGAGAAAAATAAACAATCTTTTCAACAAATAGTGCTGGATATTCACATGAAAAGAATAAAACTGGACCACTGCCTAACATTGTATACAAAAACTCAAAATGGATCAAAGAACTAAATGTAAAAACTAAAACAATGTATCTCTTAGTAGAAAATATAGGGGAAAATATATTTGGCAATGATTTCTTGGATATGAAAATAAAGATACAGGCAACAACAATGTAAACAAACTAATTGGCCTTCATGAATATTTAACATTCTGTGCATCAAAAGACAACATCAATAGAGTAAAAAAGCAACCTACAGAATGGGAAAATATTTTCAAGTTAAATATCTGATAAGTGATTAATATCCAATATATAGAGAGAACTTCTAAAACTCAACAGCAAAAAAATACAACCCTAGAAAAGAATCTGAAAAATGACAGAGAGAGAGAGAGAGAGAGATCTGAATCACTTTGCTGTACATCTGAAACTAACACAGCAATATAAATCAACTGTATTTCAATTTTTAAAAAATGAAGTTCGGTAAACTAAAAAACAAACAAAAAAATTCAAAAATGGACAAAGGACTTGAATAGACATTTCTCCAAAGAAGACTATAAATAGATAGTGAGTACAGGAAAATATGGTCAACATCACTTATCACTAGGGAAATGCAAATCAAAATTATAATGAGATATCATACTTCATACCCATTAGATGGCTCCCACCAAAAGAACAGAAAACAACAACTGTTGGCAAAGATGTGGAGAAATTAGAAGACTTCTACACTGTAAGTGGGAACATATGATGATGCAACTACTGTGGAAAACTCTAGGACAGTCCTTTAAAAAATTAAAAAGAGAATTATCATTGTAACTCAGCAATTCCCTTTCTGGACATATACCTCCAAAGAACTGAAAGCAGTCTCAAAGAGATATTTATACACCCATGTTCAAAGCAGGATTATTAACTTTAACTAAAATGTAAAACCAACCCAAGTGTCAAAACTGATGAAAGCAAAATGCAAGTATATATATATGGTGGAATATTATTCATCCTTTTAGGATGGCAATTTTGAAATAAAATATGAATGAACTTGAAGACTACAAGACTAACTGACAGACATGCCAGTCACAAAAAAATCAAATACTATATGAATTATACATTTATATGAGGTACCTAAAATACAGAAAAAATCATGGAGACAGAAAAGTACAATGGAGTTTCTAGGGGCCGGGGGTGGGGGAGGAGGGAATGGGGCATCATTGTTTAATGGGTCTAAAGCTTTTACAAGATGAAAAGAAGTCACAGAGATAGTTGGCTGAAGTTTCCACAACATTAAAAATATGTAAAATACCACTGATACATATGTCTTAGAATAGTAAGCATAGTAAATTTAATGTTTTGTATTTTACTTCAAAAAAATTTTAATTGAAAAAATGAGGCCAACACAAAATATTTATGTGGCAAAGCAACCTCAATAACCTAATTGTCTTCTTGGTGAGTAAGTAAATTTCAAAGTAGAGAAATGAAGAATTAAATGTATGTATGTTCAAAAAAAATCATACATATGTCATTAATATTTGTACTTGAATCTTTGGGTATTTGGAATTTTAGGTAAATTTTAAGTAAAATTATCTTTAAGGTAATTTGGAAAGGTTATCTTTGTAAATCCAATTTAAAATACGAAATTGAGTAACTGATCTAGATTTGTGATTATAAGTTCACATCTCATTTATAAAAGGATTTGAAATATATCAAACAATGTATATAGTTATACATTTAATGTGTTAGATTTGTAAGAATTACTCAAGTATTCTGAAAAGACTGAAAGTGCAGTACTTAAAAAAGAAAACACATTAAATGCATAATTGCAGTTTGAAATATCTAAAGCATTTAACTAAAATGCCTAAGTATTATTCAAAGGCCCTGGAAAATGTTAGTTAAAATGTTAAGATTCATAAAAGGAATAAGGTTCTTTGTAAACATGCCATGTCTCCTTCACTGGCTGGGAACAGCTCTTGGGCAGAACTCTCTATCTCACTCATCTTCCTCTCCCTAGTGCTCAGAAGGATATAGCAGGTGCCCAGGGAATGTTAATTAATTAATTAAATAGGTTGCTAAGGTAGGGCATGGGGACAAGTTGTCAGCATGCTGGCAGGGGACACAAATTTGAGCTACTTGTGGAGACTATATTGAGTGTGTGATTTATGAGCCTGTGATTGAGAATGCAGGGGTGCAGATATGTGGTCTGTAAAGGAGAAGTGATTCATGTATGTGTGTTATCTACAGATGTACCAGGTGAATAAGGGAGAAACTCCCAGGGCTTGCCCTCTCTATAGCTTGGGCCAGGCTAGAGTCATCCATTCATCTTTTCTCCTCCCACCCTGGTTTCTTCTTTCCTACCTTATATGTACATCACTCTCCAGGCCACAGGCCCCATGTTCAACAGCTTTCTCAAAGGCCATTATGGTATTCTCAGGCCCCAGCTGTGGAAGAAAAGGACATCAGGCTTTTAATCTCACAGTCTTTTCTGCTGACATCCCTTTTAGGGTAGTGACAGGAACCAGTAAGAAAGGACTTTAGAAAGTAAAATTTGGTTCCCTTGGCTCTTTGTTCAAAGAACCTGCCTACATTCTCGTCTACCAAACCTGATTCGGGGACTCTGCTCATCTGAGGCAATGTCATTGGACACAATAAAGAGAAATGGACTGAGAATTAGGTGAGTTCAAGTCCAACCTCTACAATTAATTACTTATTCTTGTCATCTCAAGTCAACCCCTTTACTTCTCCAGGGTGTTCCGAGGATCTGATGGGCCCTCTACACCCATGCACACCTTTACTCACCCACATTCTTCACGCTCAGACCTACCATGGGTGCACCTCTATGTCCAAACAAGTCCGGCTTGGGTGCCAATTTATCCTTCTCCTGAACGCAGGGAGAAAAATTCCCCAATGGAAGCAAATAGAGACACAAAAGGATAAGAAAAAAGGGCAATCCAATAGCCACTTGTAGAGCTGAAAAAGTTGAAGGAGGAGGAAGTAAGGGGGAAGAAAAGGCAAACAGGAATGGAGAACCATCCCAAGCAACTAACCATCCCCAAGCAACAACCAATACATACTCAGTCCATGGGTTCACTAACTTTGTAGACTCACTGATTTACTCTATATTTCTTTCACATCCTTATGTTCTCTCAATGATTTGAAAGCACAGGAATATCCAAATATAAGCATTATTATTAAATCACTACTGTTACAAATGTAAATTTAAAAGGAGTGAATTGTACAAGAGGTGAGAAGCAAAGGAAAGAGGGACTGTTAAGGAATATCTTCTCAGAAAGAGGAGTTTAGTTGGTTCTGAGAAAGCCCGGAAGCCCTTTAAAAATAAGCTTTGTTAGTCACTGAGTCATGTCTGACTCTTTGTGACCCATGGACTGTAGCACACTGGGCTCCTCCATCCATGGGTTTCCCAGACAAGAAGACTGGAGTGGACTGCCATTTCCTTCTCCAGGGTCTCTTCCCAACCCATGGATCAAACTCACATCTTCTGCATTGGCGGGTGGATTCTTTACCACTGAGCCAGCAGGGAAGGCCAACGATAAGCTTTAAATGCCTCTGTATTTCAGGCAGTAAGGTAAGAGTAGAAGGGATAGTGCTGACGCGTGTTTGTGTCCAACTCTTTGTGACCCTTTGGACTAGGCTGCAAGGCTTCTCTGTCCATGGGATTTTTCAGGCAAGAATACTGGAGTGGGTTGCCATTTCCCTATTCTAAGGGATCTTGCTGAACCAGGGATTGAATCTGCATCTCCTGCATGGCAGGCAGATTCTTTACCTACTAAGCCACTGTGGAAGCCCAGAAGGGATAGTAGTTGACAGAAATGTGAATTCAAAGCCAGATGCTACCACTTTCTAATTGTGTGACTCAGACATGTTGCTTCACCTCTCTGTGTCTTCATTATCTTCACTCTGAAAAATGGAGCTATCTTGCTGTTAACATCTACTTCATAGAGTTGATACGATAGCTGACACCACAGGTACTCAGTATTTTGCCCTCTCTCTCTCTCTCTCTCACACACACACATACACAGAGCCTGACCATAATACCTATTTTTCATTGGCCATTTCCCACTTACTATTTTAGACCTCTGAAAATTTTACCCAATTATAAGTTTTAAAATTACCACCTATGTCACTTTTGAACATAGATCTTCAGCTCTAACCTCTCAACTGTGTGAGCACATTACATCTGTTTCTTTTTCTCTCATTACATGTCATCTGGTATCTTCTGAATCTAGCTAAAATTTAGGAAAAGAAAAGAGTTAATTATTGTTTCTTCTAAGATCTTGCCACCAGAAACATTTCCTAAAATTCACCCTCCACCTACATATATACATGTATACAAACACACAAGGGCAACACTGCAATCCTAGTCTTTCTCTTGCCTGTATCTTTATACAAGTAGGATGCAAGCACTCCTTGTTTAACCAGTAATCAAAAAGACACAGACAGAAGGTCCTCCTGGTTTCTCAGTAAGGGTGTTGAGAAATAACTCCACTCTCAAAACAGTTTCATGTACACCTCTGATTCTTATTTGTTTCCATGATATTAGGGCAAAGAATGGAGAGGAAACCAGTAGCAGAGGCATTTCTGCTTCTGGGGCAGTTCCCAGATGTGACAGGGACACACACGCTTCTACTCCAAGTTACTAAGATGTACCCATGGATGTCTGCACCTGGTTCATTAGTTGAAACTAGTAATATTTAAATACAAACTTAAAGAACTGGGATTTATACCATCATTCTGGTCAAATAAAATTGCCTCTATTCTCTCCCTAACCCCAATCCATTTCAAGACAGTCAATGTGTACCCAAAGAGAGAAAATTTGTACTTTTCTAGAAGGAGAATCCCTCTTTACAAGAAGATTGGTTTGATCGGGGAAATGCTATGATAGGTCATGTGGGCTTGTCTGACTATAAGGAGCATGACTGAGTAATAAGCTGAATGAATTTCAAAGAGGTATACTGGTGGCTATCCATCCAGCTTGCTTTACTGAGGAAGGTACAGAAGTTAAAGGCAGAACTGAAATGATCAGGCAAGGTTTCACCCACAGAACATACCTTCTCCTTCCAAACGGATCAAGTAGAAAGCCAAAGGCCATGAAAGAATAACCATCATAGCTATGCTGCTCAGGTGTATGTAGGGAGCAAAGACCTGGGAGAAAGCCAAAAGTCAGGCTGAACACATTTGGACAGACAGGGCTACAACTAAGGATGGTGCTTACCTGCAATGACAGCCCGACAGTGAGCCACCTATCTCTCCAGTAAGTGAACAGAATCCAGAAAAAAAACGAGCACATCACAATCACTAGGAGAATCAGGATCTGGGGAAAGAAAAAGAATTTCCTGACTTCCAAGCAGTAATCTTGGATGAGAACCGTTCTTAGGAAATGCATGTATCCCTATAGTGCCTGGGTCCTCATTTCCTCAGCCTTTTAACCTAACCAACCCGCAAATGCCCAATATTAGATGAATTCAATAATTTACCTTCTTTGCTTCCTGGAGAAAAAAAATTACACAGCTATGTATATGGCCTGATACCTTTACTAATTTATCATCCCAACCTCAGCTGGGCCATCAATACTGCCTGGCATGTCTCACTCAGCTTCAATAATGGCTATTATAAATATTCACTACTTTTTTTACATGACTCAATATGGTAACAAGTAAAAAATATTTTGTAAATAAGTACCTTTTCAGTGCATGTTTTCCCCAGAAGACTGTAAGTTTCAAGAGTCAAGGACAATATTTGTTTATAATTACATCTTCACTGCCTTGCAGAATATGTCTGATTCATATAAAATACCCAATAAATACTTGTTGAACAGATGAAAAATATCTGCTGGCCAGAACACTAATTATTTCACTGAGAAAGAACACTGAGACCAAGAAGATGTAATTTTAAATTTTTCTCCTTTAAATACAGTTTTTCTGTTTCTGTGTTGCCTGTAAAGCACACTTGGTGCCCACTCTCTCATTATCTCTATAAAAAAGCAATTGAATCCATAATTTAACCTTCTCACAAAATAACTCCAGGTCATACTGCCTTCAATGGTTAATTTTCCAAACATTTAAGAAAGAAATATTTCCACTTTAACAAGCTCTTCTAGAGAATAAAAAAGAGGGAATGCTAACTTGTCTTATGAAGCCAACAAAACATTGATACTCAAATTCAATAAGCACAGTACAAGAGAGAAAAATTATAATCCAATTTCTCCTATATACAGATGCAGAAATCTTAACCTATTAGCAAACCAAATGCATTACAACGCAAGGGTTTAATTGTCAAACAAGATTCACATGAATCTTCTGTGATTCTGTGAGCACACCCAACACCAACCTTCACTAATGATTTAAATGACATAGTCAATTAAAGACAAATTTTTTTCTCATGGAAAAATCTATCAAATGCAGCTATTCATAAAAATGTCTTTCCTCTCCTGTATTAGGATACACGCTGATCCTGGACTTAAAATATGAGGTGTGTTTTTTGTAGCAATATTTTTTGGAATCCATTTTCTTGAATAATGGAAATAAAAACAAAAATAAACAAACAAGACCTAGTTAAACTTAAAAGTTTTTGCACAGCAAAGGCAATGAACAATGAACAAAATGAAAAGACAATCCACAGAAGAAGACAAAATATTTGCAAATGCTGCAACTATCAAAAAACCAAACAACCCAATCAAAAATGGGCAGAAGACCTAAATAGACCTTTTGCCAAAGAAAACATATAGATAGCCAACAGGGAAATGAAAAGATGCTCTACATCGCCAATTATTGGAGAAATGCAAATCAAAACAATGAGGTATCAACTCACACCAGTCAGAATGGCTGTCAAAAAAAGTCTACAAATAATAATTGCTGGAGAGGTGTAGAGAAAAGGGAACCCTGCTAAACTGTTGGTAGGAATGTAAACTGGTTCAGCCAAGGGAAAACGGTTGGAGGTTCCTTAAAAAACTAAAAGTAGAGCTACCATATGACCCTGCAACACCACTCTTGAACATATATCTAGAGAAAAACATGGTCTGAAATGATACATGCACCACAATGTTCATTGCAGCACTATTTACAATAGCCAAGACATGAAAGCAACATGAATGTCTATCACCGGATGAATGCACAAAGAAAATGTGGTACATATATAAAATGGAATCTTACTTGGCCATAAGAATGAAATATTGCCTTCTGCAGTAACACGGATGAATCTAGACCTTGTCAAATTATGTATGTCAGATCGAAAGGAAAATATCATATGATTTCATTTATATGCAGAATCTTAAAAAAGATACAAATGAATTTGTTTACAAAACAGAAATAGATTCACAGACACAGAAAACAAACTATGGTTGCCATAGGGGAAAGGAGAATGGAGAGGGAAAAATGAGGAGTTTGGGATTAACAGATACACACTACTATATATGAAATGGATTAAAAAAGAAGGATCTACTGCATAGCACAGGGAACTATACTCAACATCTTACAGTGATTTACAATGGAAAAGAATCTTAAAAAGAATATATATGCATGTGTGTTTATAACTGATCACTTGGCTGTACCCCTGAAGCAACACCGTAAACCAACTAAGCTGCTGTTTAGTTTCTAAGTTGTGTCCATTTCTGGGCGACACCATGCACTGTAACATGCCAGCTTCCCTGTCCATTATCTCCCAGAGTTTGCTCAAACTTATGTTCATTGAGTCAGTGATGTTATCTAACCATCTCATCCTCTGTCATTCCCTTCTCCTTTTGCCTTCAATCTTTCCCAGAATCAGGGTCTTCTCCAGTGAGTCAGCTCTTCACATCAGGTGGTCAAAGGTATTAGAGCTTCAGCTTCAGCATCAGGCCTTCCAATGAATATTCAGGGTTGATCTCCTTTAGGATTGACTGATTTGATCTCCTTGCAGTTCAAGGGACTGTCAAGTCTTCTCCAGCATTACAGTTTGAAAGCACCAATTTTTCAGTGCTCAGCCTTTTTTATGGTCCAACTCTCACAACTCTCACATGACTACTAGAAGAATCATAGCTTTGTTTAAAAGGACCTGTGTCAGCAAAGTGATGTCTCTGCTTTTTAATACACTGTCTAGGTTTGTTGTAACGTTTCCTTACAAGGAGCAAGCATCTTTTAATTTCATGGCTGCAGTTACCATCTGCAGTGATTTTGGAGCCCAAGAAAGTAAAATCTTTCACTCTTTCCACTTTTTCCCCTTCTATATGCCATGAAGTAAATCAACTATACTTCAATAAAAAGAAATTTGTTAATGTGAGGTGTGTTTTGAGCAAAGTGTATGAAAACTCTGATTCACAGAAGGAGCCTTTTGAGTTATGGAGCATCCTTATCTTATGTCCTAGTATTTATGCAACTTGGGTCAGCCATGTCTCCCACCATACAAATTTATAAATTTCAAGTTTATTTACAATAAGCAACCCAAATATACCAGGTTATATTCTGCTAGAAATTTTCATAGATAAAAATTCTTCATTATCTTTTTACTAATAACTATTTTTAGTATGCTTAAATACCTTCAGTATGTTTATAAAGAGTTTTGATTGAGGTCATTCATTCCTCTCTGAACATGCCGAAGTAGAAGGAGAATAGGTTACAAGCCTGGTGCTAACCCTTTCCTTCCGGGTTTACTCTTTGCACACTAAAACTGAAACTCCAAGCCCCACAGAATCCCTGTTGCCAAGAGAAGCAATCTCTCCTTACAAGTCCAATAAACCTAATCCTTCAATGGATAAAGCCCTGTCTAAAGTGGTCACCTTTCAAGGGGATGCCCACTCTTTCTCATACCTCACCTGCATCACCTTCCATGGTCTACAGATTTATAATAAGAATTAGACCCAAGAATACTTCAAGAGATGGCTTTATTAAATTTTCTGACCAAACTCTACAGTATATGTGGGAAAAAATCCAAAGATTGTTAAACAAGGAGAAAAGAATTCAAGACTGGGCTAAACTTACACAAATATGGGCTTCTCTTGTGACTCAGCTGCTAAAGAATCTGCCTGCAATGCAGGAGACTGGGTTCAATCCCTGGGTTGGGAAGATTCCCTGTAGAAGGGAAAGGCTACCACTGCAGTATTCTGGCTCAGAGAATTCCATGGACTGTATAGTCCATGGGGTCACAAAGAGTCAGACATGACTGAGCGACTTTCACTCTGTGTGTGTGTGTGTGTGTGTGTGTGTGGTTTATTTATTTACCCATCCTCAAGGAAATCAACTCTGAATATTCACTGGTAAGACTGGTGCTGAAGCTGAAGCTCCAATATTTTGGCCACCTGATGCAAAGAGCCAACTCACTGGAAAAGACACTGATAGTGAGAAAGTTTGAGGGCAAGAGGAAAAGCGAGCAACAGAGAATGAGAAGGCTGGATGGATCACTGACTCAATGGCCATGAGTTTGAGCAAACTCAGCAAGATAGTGAAGGACAGGGAGGCCTGGTGTGCTGCAGTTCATGGGGTTGCAAAGAGTTGGACATGACTTAGTGACTGAACAACAACAAAATTTGTTGATAAGTGTGCACTTATCAGAGATTCTGAATTCACTATACCAGAATTCAGGTATTATATATTGTAAAATGATTCTAACTGCTTATTTCATTTTCTGAAACCTTGGCTCAGTAGTAGACTATGTGTGCAAAATGTACACTGGGGAAAAGACAGTCTCTTTAATAAGTGGTGCTGGGAAAACTAGAGCGGTACATGTAAAAGAAAGAAATGAGAATATTTCCTCACACCATATATAAGAATAAACTCCAAATGGATCAAAGATCTAAATTTAAGACTGGAAATCATAAAACTTCTAGAAGAAAACACAGGCAATAACACTCTTTGACATAAGTCTTAGAATATTTTTTGGGTATGTCTCATCAGGCAAGGAAAAAAAACAAAAATAAATGAGACCTAATTAAAATTAAAAGCTTGTACACAGCAAAGGTCCATACCATTTCTGTCCTTTGTTGAGCCCATCTTTGCATGAAATGCTCCCTTGGTATCTCTAATTTTGTTGAAGAGATCTCTAGTCTTGCCCACTTTATTGTTTTCCTCTATTTCTTTGCACTGATCCCCGAGGAAGGCTTTCTTATCTCTCCTTGCTTCTCTTTGGAACTCTGAATTCAAATGGGTATATCTTTCTTTTTCTAACTTTGCTTTTCACTTCTCTTCTTTTCATAGCTATTTGTAAGGCCTCCTCAGACAGCCATTTTGCTTTTTTGCATTTCTTTTTCCTGGGGATGGTCTTGATCACTGTCTCCTATACAATGTCACAAACCTCTGTTCATAGTTCATCAGGCACTCTTTCTATCAGATCTAGTCCCTTAAATCTATTTGTCACTTCCACTGTATAATCATACGGGATTTGATTTAGGTCATACCTGAATGGTTTAGTGGTTTTCCCTACTTTCTTCAATTTAAGTCTGAATTTGGCAATAAGGAGTTCATGATCTGAGCCACAGTCAGCTCCCAGTCTTGTTTTTGCTGACTGTATAGAGCTT